TATATATATATATATATATATATCTGACACATATATATATAGATATACAGGTTCTAGGCGACCAGTCAGCTACAGGCAGTCGGGTTCCCTTTTCCGGCTGAACTAATTAATAAACGATCGGCCGACTTCGTGTCAGTCGACGCTAATTACAGGTGACGAGCTATCAAGTCGTTCGCGTAGCCCGACGAATATTAATAAAATAGGAGATAATACCTTTTGTATTCCACGGCTATACCTTCCTCATCCTCCTGACGATGAGTTCTCTTCTCTCTTCCACTTATCCTTCGTCTATACCACTTTCAGCCATTTTCCCTTATAGCTATTTATACAGGAGTTTGTGTGTGAACGCGACGGTATATAAAACTGGCTATGAGATCGGGGCAACTTTTTATTGGAATATTTGCAAAAAATTGCGAAAAAATAGAAAACAGGGAAAATGAGAATGATGGGGGAGGCACTGGCAACGCGCCAGCCGCGAATCGAAATTCCTCAGTGATTTAATAAGCGTCGCGATCTTAAGATTGGAGTTTCATTTTTTTTCAATACAATAAAAACGATCGTCTCAATGTCACTAGATAGACTCATCGAGACACTTGCTAGGGATTTCTAGGGAATAATTGGATAGCGATATAGGGATTTTGAAAAGATCGAACAAAAAATTATTCTCCGCCCCTTTCATCCCTCGCGCGAAAAAACGAGAGTCTGTTCTGTAAAATGGCGGCGTAGACCACGGGTACTTTCCGAGAACGCGAAAACGTCAGTCGGGGCAATGCTAATTGAAAGTTTCAACGAAACCGGCTAACTGACGTCGATTGAAATCTGCCAATATAAGCCGAAGCCCCGTGGGGCCTAAATTATCGCATGAAACATTTAGCGCGGAGGTTACCTCACCGTCCCTTCGTACGATTCGGCCAATGGACCATTATTCGTAAGGGTTACTCCAAATAATTAAATATCTCAATTCGCCTTTAAAAGAAACCTCAAAAAAATACCCTATTCCAACCAACCGATCTTACATAATTCATAATAAAATCATTTATTCGTCCAAGTCAAAATCTACCCCACGTAAACCTCACCCAGTCAGGGGCTAATGGGACACACAGAAGATACCAGTTGTCAGCTTAATAATGGCTTGAACTAAAATACAGGCAAACTGAAATATCTTTAGAGTTCAGCAGAGATACTAACCACATTTGAGTATATATATATATATATATACACATATCTTTGAACAGTATACGGTACGCGTAAATATATATATATATATATATATATATATATATATATAACTCCTAGCAGGGATCTTGTACATTGCAAAGACTTCACTTCCCCAGGTGGAGTCTCTCGCTTCGTTTACACGTAGGATTATTAACGGGCATCTAAATAACAGACGGTACCGTTAAACGGGAAACGATCCTGGATAATGATTTGAACGTTAGAGATTGACTGGATGCTGAGAGGTATGAAATGGTAACGGAGAAGGTCGGGGGGGTTGGACCGGGGTTGTTAAGAGAAGAGAGACTCCTGCCAGTATAGAATCGTAAGGGGGTTTGGGTTGGTTAGTCTGAGACAGGAAGACGTTAAAAAGGGATAAGGGATGTTGTCGACAGCCGGCTGGATTCCGTCTCGGGGATTTAATGAGATTTTATGCGCGAGATAATTAGTGCGTCTCATGAGTTTCCCATCTCCTTTCCCCATCCGTTCAACCCTTCCTCTCCTCTCTCCCTCGCCGATTTTCTCTCTCCTTACTCACCGGATCTCCCGTAGCTCCTAGCTCGCCGTCTCCTTTATGTAATTACTACTA